GTGTCTTAAAATGAGTTTCAGAAGTAAATTGCTTTCCCCAAAGTTTTGCCAAGCCTGTGCCTCCCCTACTGTGGAAAAGGTCAAGAAAAGTCTTAGCTAACTGGTCTTGAGCATGTAGAAGGGAGTAAAATTTTAGACAAGGCAATAGTCCATCGATTTCCTTACATTTAAACTCAAAAGATTTATTTTAGGCAGGTTGTTTTCTATAAAGTTGGTTACTGTGGTAAAGTGTTACCTAGGGGGAAATTTCGAACCTAATACCCAATGTGCTGTTCAAGTGATTCAGACTCTAGGGTAATTTTTATGATTGTATGCTACCAGATAATAATGAGTTAGTTGGGTCCCAATCCTGGGAAGCTGAACTGAGAGATCTAGAACCATTTAGAAGAAGATTGAAGACTACAAGCAAATTAACAAGGGTGGAAGGTACTATTTCCTCTAGGCAATAGTAATGTTTGCTTTCAAGGCTTTTATGAACTTGGGGGAAGGCTGAGTCACTCAAATTTGGAGTCTGGAACGGGGGGGGTGTAAAGAGGAGGTGGCCACAGGGACAGTCAAAGCTCAATTTATGTGACTGAATTTCACAGCTGAGCAGGAAGAAGCCTCCGGTGTGTCTGTGGGGACCATAGCAGAGCCAAGGTGGTAGGAAGAGGTGCGGAAAAAAGCATAAGTCTTCACATCAGACCGCCCTGTATTCAAACCATTGTTTCCTCATTTGTTAAAGATGTGGCCTTGGGCAGGTTATAAGCCATTCAGTGCTTCAGCTCTATAAAATACAGACAAGTGCCTCTTCCTAGGATTATCACCAGAGTTTAATGATGTGTGCAAATGCTAATTATAGTAATGAACACATAATTCAATACCTGGTTGCTGTTATTGTTATCCACCACCCATCTGTTTGTCACACTCTGCTGGCTTTTGTGTTGCTATCATGCTGGAAGATCGGCCACTGGCATCTTACATATCAGCAGGGACACGATGTTGGTGGGGCTTCCCGACTAAGACTAGAAAGAAATGCATGGTGATCTCCTTCTGAAAGTAAAGGAAAACTTATGGACTGTAGGAAAACCGTCTGAGTTTGGACCTGCCCTCAAGAGGGATCAATTGCTGAGAAGGACATCATGTTTGGTAAACAAGAAGGCTGGCAAAGACAGCCAAAGGGAGGGGAGACTCACTGGCGGGATGGATCGCACCAAAACCTCAGTGATTGAAGGCAGCAGTCATGAGTGGATAACTCAGAACTGGGCAACCCTCTATTATCAGGGTTTTTAATCCTGCAACCGGGGATTCTCAAGACAGCGTGAGTGGGTTTCTGGGAGAGAGAGAATTTGAAATTGATGGAGGAAAAATAATTCCTCCCTGATGGGATGCATAGGAATCAGATCGATTATATCTGTGGAAAAAACTGCTGGAGAAGCTCAATATCAGCTGTGAAAACTAGGCCAGGAGCTGATTGTGGAACAGACCACCAACTACTCATATGCAAGTTCAAGCTGAAG